GTGGTGTTTTAAAGATGTGTCTAATACTGCCTTTGCTTAGATTTAAACGGAATCTTTTCCTGAAGTTTGACAAACATTTTTCTTTCCTTTTTTCTGACACTTTTCCCATTCTTTCCAATTATTCTTGGAAAACTGTTAGCTAAAGTTCTGCAAAACCAGCTGTTGAAACACTGTCTTCTGGGTCTGAACACAGCTGGGAAGGATTGCTTGCTGAAGGCTTGTTGGTCTCATTGTATACTTGTTAGGAGTTTGATACCAGCATCCGTGCAGCTGTTCATTGTAAAGGAAATGTTAATGTTTTTGAGTTTTACTAGTGAGCACTTTAGTTTGGCTTTGCCAGCCACTTACTTTAATGGGGTAGATGGGACTTGATCTGCTGTGGAATCCTATTACTAACCTAATTAATGACAAAAAATAGTAAAGGAAAATATGCTTGCATAATCCCAGCAGAGGGGGTTTCCCAGAAAAAGTCAGGTGCCAAGAAACTTCAGGCCATAATGTGATTGACAGGGCATATTTGCATTATGTGTCAGGCATCCAAAGTCTCTATAATCTGCAAGTCTCCTTGTGACCCTAACTCACAGCATATTGCTGGGAACAGGTTGAGTTTGCCCTTCTGTACCATCTCTGATTTGAAGGACTTCTGTGATTCCTCCTGTAGCAAGCAGACTCCAGACTGTGTATCAGCTGCCTCAGTTCTGAGTGGTAGAGGTAACCTTTGCAGATTGAAGAGTCTTCAGTTGTCCCAATGCATAGCTTCAAAATGAAGCTGTCTTTAAGCTGCCCTTGATTTTGCTCCCTTGCTCTCAGGGTGGTTGGAGTCTATGGACTATAAGCAATGTATGTAGCAGGCTGAAGCAACTAGGACAACTTTTGCTGAAACTGAGGCAATTATATTAAAACCAGGATTGAATACATCTATACTCAGTTTTGATTTAAAAATATACATAAATTAGCATTAATGATGAAATACTTACTATTTCTTTTGTTCCTGGGGGACAACTTGAATGCTGTGAACAAATTCTGCATTTTTCCTTAAACAACACAAATGGTTAACTGTGGTTAACAGACTGTATAGAGTTGCAGACGGCTTATTTAATAGAAAATGCATAATTTCCAGCTCTACTTCTAAACCTAGCCCTCGGGATGCATAGTCATGATAGCCCCTATGGTAAATGTGATGAGAGTAGCTACTCTACTCAGAAAGGAAAATCATCCCCACCAGGGACACCTCATGGGAAGCCTCGTCCCGAGGGTCAGGAGAAGGAAAGCTCTTTTGGATATTTCTCTATGCTCTTCTAAAGTGATGCTTCCCAAGAGCCTTCCCATCTAAAGCATGATAAGAGGCAAATCCTGAACTTGGACACAGCTTTCCTGTGGTGCAACGGCAGCTTGAAAATGGAAAACTCACCTAGACATGTATCTTGTGCTATATGTGTGTGTGGATAATTTCACAGTTTCTGCAAAATGCTTAGATACATGTCGTACCCAGTACACAATGACTAATATCATTCCTGTTTAGCTAACCATGTCATTGCTTTTAACAAGGCTTAAATGAGTGTTGAAGTATGTTACTGCATTTAAACATAGTGGGGAAAATAACTTTCCATGGGAAAACAAAGGCCTATGTGCAAAAGACCTGACAGAACAAAGCTTTGGAAAAGCCTCGTGTGAAATACACTCAAATATGGGACCGTGTCCAAAGGAAAAACTGCAAAAGTTCAACCCTGTTAAATTTGTTTTAACCAAAGCACAAGTCTCACATTTTCTTCTTTGTGCAGTTTGTTGCATGCTTCATAAAAAGGGAGGTAAGCTTCCTGTTGGCTGTGCTTTGTGACTTGGGAGAAAAGACAAAGGAAACCTTTCTCTGCCAGCTTGAGGAAATCACATCCTATTCTTCAGAGGAATCTAAACCCATTTGTATTTCATATGTAAAAGTAACAGAAGTGGGAGAATGTTTACTCGGAGGGCAAGAGAAGTCCATATGTATGTGCAGTGGAATGAAAATAAATTTTTTCCTTAATAAAAATAATTAATTTTCCATTTCCCCCCACTTGTTTGCTTTATAAACAAGTGGTCTGGCTGAGAACATGTATTAGAATAGTGAATTACTATTTTTCTTTTTTTTTAATTAAAGCTCAGGATTTTCTTACTCCAGTGCTACTGTGATTATATTTTGACCAGGCTGTCAGTACACTGACTGCAAGATCAAAGTTGTCTCAATAGATGCTAAAATTCTTGTAGGAATATTCTTTGTGGAAAATATAAGCATTCCTTACTGGGAAATAGTATCACATATCCTGTACATTTGAGCTATGTTTGGATATAGGTCTCTCAGATGGGTCTTTAAGCACCTATATGAACAGAAGCACTTACGATGACCACTGTGTCATTGATATCACATCTGTTCTTCTGGATTTCCAAGACCTTTCCCAACCCATGGATAATTCCTTTGTCTGTTGCAACATTTGCATAGCTTATAGGTGCATCATTTATGAATAACTGCAAAAGAAATGAAATCAGTTAGAAAGCAGCAGAACTGAGTGGTAGCCACATGGTAGCTGGAGCAGCAGTGGTGAAAGAAGGAGCAACGTACAAGTCTCATTTCAGGAAAATCAATGAGTGTAGCTTATTTCAAGCACTTGCTCATATCCCAGTTGCTGCATTTAAGAGCTTCACTGGACTGAAGGGCATAAGATGACTTGCAGCATACTGAAGTTTCTTAGCAACAGGATTTGGCAGAGCAGCTTTTTCTGCCATAAGGTGTAAAGGTGAAACATTTGAAGAAGGAGCCTAAAGCAAGCCAAGAGCTGGGTTTGCTGTCTGTGGGGGATGAGGGGCTTCAGGGAAGCCCTTCCAGCAGCTGCGGCTTCAGGGAGGACTTTCATCATCTCACTCCTCCCAACACTCCTACTGAGTCCTCACCAGCAGCATCCCTATGATTGAATGCTTTTCTGAGGGTCTGCCATGGGCTGAGCAAAGATCAGGGCTTGAAACCACTTCAGTGAGAAGCTTTCTGTCTTCCTTTGTGTATGCCCAGAGAGATCCCTGGGACAGAGAAGAAGGAGGATCAAACTCCCCTTCCAGCTCTGCTGTAATTTTGGCTGTGTTGCTTAATCTTACTATGTCTGATTTTTCCATGAGTGGTGTTGAAAGGCAATTCATATTTGTTGCCCAGTGCTTTAAGCTTTTAGGATTAAAAGTGGAGTAAATCCACAGAAAATAGATTTAATGTTTCAGAACTGAGGGCAGGTTTCTAAAATCTGTTAATGATTATTTTGCAATGCAGGCTTGTAGCAGCTAGAGATAGATGTCCACCACAGCAGCTTCTAAAATGCAATGCTAAATGTGAACAGCACGATCGAAATAACATTCAATCAAAGATCCCTTCAAGGGTGACTTAGAATTAAGCAGGTCTGAGAGAGGCATTTGAGTGACCACTTTTGTGCTATTACATCCCAGGAGCTAAAGGAGCGGGTGAACACCTCCTTTTGACTCCATATTAAAGTTGAAGCTGGCTTCATAAGAAAGCAGGAAACCTGTTTCTCCAAACAAATTAAAACAACAGTACCTGGCCATCATGGAGGAAGACCCCAACCTGGTAGGAGAACCCTAGCATGGTCTCCCTGTGCATGCCGTTGTGCAGGTTGTTCTTCAGGAGCTTCTCACCCAGCACAATGTGGTAGCGGATTTGGCTTTCGCCCTGCAAACATGGTAACATCACAAAGGATGAAAGGTTATTAGAGATAGATTTTCCCAAAGGGTACAAGGCAAACATAGATGGCCTGAGTTTGAGGAGCAGCTTCTCAGCTGGCAGATTATTTTGTACTTCCGACCATGGAATGCCTGCATTCCTATCATAATAAAAATGTAATTGACCATGGGGGATTAAAGGCTTGTTGAACTGGCAGGACCGAAGTTTGCTTGAGCTTCGTAGTGTCTCCTCCTGTGTACAGGACTGACTGATTCAGGGAAGAGTCAGTCAGATGACTTTTTAGGACTCTGAACTTCATGAGCTCATTTGACATGAAAAGTTGAGAATGTGCTTTTATATTCTTCCCCATACCCATTCCTTTCCTTTGGAAATCACTTAATCACTTATAGATGAATATTTACAGTAATTTATAGGTGGGGTTTTTTTGTGTTTTTTTGTTGTTGTTGTTGTTTGATTGTGGTTTTGGTTTGCTTTTTGTTAAGGTCATTTTCAGTCAATAAAGTGTTGGAACCACACGTGTTAATGGGAAAGTTTTCTCTGCCTCATTGCTAGAGTATATTCACTTTTCATTGAGGTGGTGAAATCGTTCTCTGTACATCAACATTTAGTAAGGGCTTCCAAAGGTTTCTGCATCTTGCTCCAGAGCAGGGGACTCCCAAAGCTCTACCTGGCTTGGAGGAGGAGAAAGTAGGATGTTTTATAGAGATTTGTAGATGTGAGAGAAGCTGGGGCATTTGGTGGGTTTTAGATGCTGCTTAGACAATAGCTATAGTGCTGCTGCAGTTGTATGCCTTTGCAATAAAAGGTGCTTGCATGAAATCCTGTTGCCTGCTGTCTTCTTGTTCTGAATGTTCATACTGCTCCTTGTTCTTCCATCCCTCCAAAAAGCATGGGAAAGCAAGATACATAATGTCCACGAGGTGAAATACTGATCTCTACGTCTGTTAAAGAGGAACCCATTCTATTTTGATTTCCTCAGATTTGATAAAGAAATATTTGCAGGAAAGAAGGTGGGAACTAAGAGCTAATCTCCAGCAGTGTTCAAGTCTATTTAATTCTCCTGATTTGGAGGCTTTGGAGAAAGTTAACTCTCATTGATCTTCATTTCTGTCTTTCATCACCAGCAGAGTGAGAACAAAACCTTGCTTCATCAAAGCCAAGAAACGGGCTCATTTCCCTGTGTTGAGCTCTTCCCTCTGTGGCAGAGTTCTCCCAAGGTGTTTCATAAAGAGGATAAGGCTTAGGCAGGCTTAACCTTAAGGTGTTTTCTGATTTTCTTTGTGAGGTTGCCACACCAGACAAGGCGGGGAGAGTGGAAGAAAGACAGAAGAAACATTGGTAAGCTGTGGAAATGAAAAGGATTCCTTTGCGCGTGTAACCTAAATGCAGTGGGGTTGATGTCTAACGTTTCTCTCAAAGTTTGTTATAAATGCTTCTTACAGTGATGCGGAAATGACGATGCTGTGTCATAAAACAATTAAAATAGCCTTCAAAAGTCGTTTGAGCAGATGTAGCTTGATCATGTATGAATTCTTCTGGTGAGGCAGCAAGCGGGGGTTTTGCTGTGGGTCTGCTGGTTGGTGGAAAATATTCTGGGACAAGTCATTTGAACCTTGCTCTGCTCAGCTTCCTGGCTGTAAGTGGAGATTGCGAAAGTACGAACAGAGTGTGGCAGCATAAATATTTATGGAGGAGGCAGGGGAGTATTAATGTCATTGAGCAAGTCATGGGAGAAGCTTCCTCTGCAAGGTGTGGCTCTCGATATGTGCGTTCAATAAAGCGGTTTCAAACTGGAACAAGTATGAAGAAAGGTGCTGAGGTGATGCAGGAAGCAATAGTTTATTCTGGGAGGAGACTGAGAGGCTTGAGAAGGCTCTTTGGCCTTGTAAATATGTCAGGACACAAATGCCAGAAAGTTGTTTCAGCTAAAACATACTCCTGGCACTAGAATAAAGGGATATAAACTGGCCAGAGGTGTGCTGTCAAAATAGCATAAACTAGTTCTGGGCATGAGGACTGAGGTCAGAAGGGGAGGTGGGATGCCATGGCCTTGCCTGTGATGATGGGGAGCTGGCGGCCAGGTCAGGCATGAGCATGGTGTCAGGCTCCTTGGGGTGGGCAGCAGCAATAGGCTTTGTTTAAGGGAATTTTCCTAGCCAAGAGAACTTTAGTAAGTTTTCTGAGCCGTGGTATGGCCAGTGGTGGTTATAAACTGGGATTAGAGACGGCCTGCAGAAAGGGGCTGGGTAATAGTGTTCCTGCAGGAGTGACAGGGCAAGCATCTGGATAGTTTCAGGAGTCAGAATGTTTTGTGGGGTTATTAATGACAAGGTTACCACTGATGTCCAGGGACTGGACTTGTTCACTGAGGAAACTCATTTCAGGGTTATTCCTGGTCATTCCTCTCTTGATCTTTGCAAAAGTCTGTTGATGAAATGTCTTGGGTATTATATTTCTGTGTCATCTCAATCCATCCACTTGAAACTGAGATGAGATACTGAGTTTTTAAGACAAGTCTTATAAGCAATACTTACCAGGGTAGCAGAATTTTTATCCCTTAGGTAATTTTCTATGGCATCATTATCTGGGGCAAACACTGTGTATGTGTTTGCAGCTTCTATTTCATTTGCCAGGTTGTATTGCTGTTGTGGAACACATAAACAAAAATCAGAATGGCCACTGATAGTCTGATACCAGTCCAAATGCAAACAAAGCAGAGAACTGCTTCCATTCTTAAAACAGTGTGAGAGCTTACAATAATGTAGCCTCTGAAAATGGAGTAATCGGGCATTTGCTCCAGGCGGGCCAGCAGCCTCGGCATGACGGTGCTGCGGAGGGGGGTCAGAACCTGTAAAGGGAGCGGATATCCCATGTCAGTGCTTGTATACATGCTGTGGTTGAACCTGCAAGGATCAGACCCAGGCCAAAATGCTATTTTGTGTAAATACTTCTTTTCCAAGAGCTGCTAATTATTTTCTGCTGTTTGTGTTACAGAGGAACAAATCCTTCCTCTGCAGCCATATACCTTATCAATAACATGTATGATTCCATTTGTGGATGCGATGTTACCAGCCACGATGTGAGCACCCTCAAGGGTGAGGTTCTGAAACAGAAAGAGGAAAGAGAGGGTTTGCTTTCTCATTGCAGTGGTGGAATTTTCCCATTGATTTCCACACGTTCCCAGAAGCTTTCCTGGGACTCCACCATGGCTTCACTTGCATCAGGCCACACTCAGGGAACCATGTGCATGGGATATGACTTTGGGACTATTCTGCTCCCTGTGTTCAGACCAGCAAAACCATGGGACTGCTTGCACTAGCGTGGTTATGGGGTGGGTGTACTCACTCCCATCCCATGGCAGGGTGAAGCCCTGTGCCAATTCATGCCCTCCCATTTCTGTGCAGCTATGAAAGACCCCATTCATGATTTTTCCCTCTGGGCATGGAGGTGGGAGGAAGTTTTCCCTTAATTAATGGGGGTGAAGTGCTTAAATGTGCCATATGTATTTCCAGAAAATCCTCCTCAGAAGTGGAGTACTAACGTGCTGAGGGGGAAGGACTGTCAGCTCTTTTACTTGTCATTAAAAATATCTTCAGGTGATTTGGGACTATCAGGCTGTGGATGCGGACAAAGTATCATTGCTTTCTCCTACCTTCCCACTTCCCTAAAATAAGTTATTTGGTTTTCTTGGTGCCCTTTATCTTAAATTAGTCCACAGAGGCTGCTCCAGGCAGGTACCATGCTTCTCCCTCGGTACAAGACTGTCCAGTGTTTGCAGCAGCTACTGGGGCATTAAGAATAAATAATACTGGGGACAAATTGCAGCTAGGTAAAGTGGTGGACAAAATCAAGTTAATGTTTCTCCCAGAGGGCCCAATGTAATTGATCTATTCCTTTAATTTTATGTCATGGTCTTTTTTTTAAATACACCTACAAGGTCTGTGTGGTTTTGTAATACAAGGAAGTTGGTGGCAGTGATGGTCAGAGTTTGGTGTATGACACCACAGTGGTTTGCAGGTCATCTCACCCCATTTTCTTTGGACAAGTGTAGGAAGTTGCTCTGTAGGGATGTTGGCAGCATGTCAGAGGATGATAAATTCTGGAAATCAGCAAAGCTGTAAGCTCCTGTCAGTACATGATACCTGAAGGAAATTAAATGAACATGAAAGTGTTGTATTTTCTCTCTTTTCCCAATAAATATGCTTAGTGTGTCTGAAACTGTGGTCTAAAGCGGGAATTATTTGTACAATACCTGGTTCAGCTATGTTCTGATTTTAGTTTGGCCTTTAAACATTTCTGACATAACACAGATAATCTCTTTGTTTCCAGTGGAGTTGCTACAGAGATTTATACCATTCTAACTAGAAGAGGGATCCTATGACCCTCCCTTAAAATTATAATAGCTGTCTTGCTCTAGTGGCTTCAAACCAAAGGCTTATTTGCCATAGAAAGCAATTCATCATAAAACCCCAAACCCCAAACTATTAACGTACTTCAGTAGAGTTGGGATGTTACTCTTTGACATCCAAAAGGCTTTCTCGTCTTCATCCATGTTTTCAATTGCTTGCAGAGAAGGCACGAGGACAGTTAGGTTTGAGGTGCTGGACAGCACTGAGTTTATCTCAGCCTCCTGCATGGAAGTAAACAGGGTAAAATAATTCATCCGAAGGATGATCTATAAATAGCATCTGGTGACTTTTTAGCAAGGTGGAGTATGTGACGTGCTTTGTGACCAGCCTGGAGAGGAAAAACTATTAAACTGAGCAATGACTTGAACAAAACTATTTAGAGCTGTACAAAATGGCAAATGGGTGTCTATTTTTTACAGTCTAGATTGCCAGCATTTAAAGGGCAGAAGCAATGTTTAGGTCAGAACTGTTTTTTGTGGTGAAACACTTAGGTTTCCTCCTACAAAAGTTCCTTTGACTCATGGATTCTATTTTATGCACTTAAAAGTAAATCACGGTAATAAACATGAGTGGTTGCTGATAAATACTGAGAACCTGCTTTTACAGAGCACTCTGTGCTATTTAATAGATAGAAGGATTATGAACTGTAAAATAAGAAACCCACATGACACAGTGTTCCCTTTTGATATAAGACTATTTACCATGGCTGGGATTTTTGAAGATGTCCAAAGGTTATCTGTGCCTACTAGCTTGCTGTGACAGCTCTAATTTTAGATGGGGGATGTGGGCTCTGTATTGTGAATGGACTGATTCATCTTCCATATGTTTTTATCTGCCTTAAGGATGGGGAGAGCCTCCACTGGAGATTTTTCCAGTGTGTGGATTTTTTTTTTGTGGGGAGACCTAAGGACCTAAAGATCTGAATGCTGAAGATGTGATTCTCTTGACTTTTCACAGTCTCCACAACTTTTGAGACTGCCAAACTCAAGGGAGCAATATTGAGCTTAAGTTCTACCTTTTTGCAGCTGGTATGCTGCCTGGAAGATGGCTTGTTTTGCGTGGTACTTCACTACTGGGTTTTAAGTCAAGAAGGGAACCAGCTCCCTTAAATAGCTGGGGATTTTGTCTCTGTTAAGATCATCCATCTTTCTAGTCATCATCACTGTCACCTTCCAAATATTTAAATGTAGAAATAGAAACAGACTTCCTCTTCTCATCCTTCCTGACCAGCAAGAAATATATTTGGTTATGAAAAGTGATAAACATCACATTCCTGCTCAAGTATGAAGTTAAGAACCCCACAGATGGATATATCTCCCTATTTTTCTCATGCTTGTAGCTACCATTATTTAAGGAATACTGTTTCTTTGAAGTGTAGCAGAGATTTCCACATCTCTCTTTCAACAGGTTACACAGAATCTGTGTCCTGATTTCCTCCCCACACCACTTTATTATCTAAAAAGCACATTAGCAGGTGAACAACCCTTCCTATTGTGCTCATTCCTTTAACTTAGTTTCTCTTTACAGTGTACAGTGCTGCAGTCAGCCCAGGGCCAGGCAGATAACTGATTTAAATTAGCCACATTGGCCTTTCTTTTAAGCAGCTCCCTGAGGTCCCTGTTGGAACTGTGTGCTTTAAGGATTCCTAAGCTATTTAATTTTGAAAAGCATGAAAACAGCTAATATGCTGTGCCTTCTGTTTTTTGATGCTATTCTTTAGCATATCACTGTTCCTTTCTGTTTGCCACTATTTCCTCTATACTTCTTATACTTAGGTTTTAAGCTTTCTGTAGGTGAAACTGGTTTTGAACTCTATTCATACAATGTCAGCCACACTAGGGTAAGGACCTCTAATATTGCTGCTGCCCTAGTAATAAATAATAGTATGTGAAAATATAAAGAGTGAAAATCAATATATCTAGAACGGTG